GGGGGGGCTGGGTTGAGATGTGGGTGTTGGCGCTGTGCACGGTGGCGGCTGCGGCGGTGTGGGGGCCGCCGGGTGGGGCCGTTCGGCTGTGGGCGGCTTGAGCTGGTTGGGGTGACCCTGCGGTGTAGCCGCGGTTGGAGACGCTTTATTAGTCTGGCCCAGAGGCGCAGGAGTTTTTGTAGCAGTGGGCCCGGGCAGGGATGCCGCAGCGTCCGGTCTGTTGGGCGGGGGCCGCTGCCGTACGCGCGGAGGGTGTCTTGTGATGCGCGTGGTGATCTCTGTGGCAGCATTGCGGTGTGGTTGGGTTGCGCGGGCCGCGTGGATTTCAGGCAAGAGCGTGCTGGGGTGTATTGGGGACCAGTCATCTGCGAGGACTTGCCCAGTTGGGTCCCTGCTTATAATGGCAGTCACAGCGTCCTGCGGCGCCATGGCGTTCACAAACCACGCCCGATGGGGGCTCACCAGCGCATCCCAGTCAGCGCTTCGCATGGCACGCACCCCGCGATGCGCAGCCATTGTTATTGAATCAAGCATGTACCAGTTTTGGTCCACACGGCTGCGGGCAACCACCACCCAGTGGCTTGGGTTGAAGCACACAACCGCTCGGTCGCAGCCCTTTGCGCTGAGGATGTGTTGTAGGGCAGCGCCTGAGATGTCGCCACCGCTGTTGCAGATGCTCGTAATGGCGGCTCGGGTATCGGGTTTAGTGTGTTCGTAAATGAAAAAGTTGAGTGCATCTATGCTGAACCACCCGCCTTGACTGTATGGCCGCCCTCCTACGAGCTTGGTGGCCTCTGCTGGCCACCGCTCCCGAAGGTAGCTGAGCATTTCGGGACCATCAATGAGGCGCTCTCCAAAATATGCGTTCAGTGCATGAACCCCACAGAATCCCTCCCTCTGCGGCTCGCAGTACAGCCCCACCGATGCCGGGTCCACGTACCCCTGAGCTGGCGCTCTCCGCTGTGCGTCTGGCCGCGTGTGCGTGGAGCCTGGGGGCGGAGCCCCCCCTCGCTGTTTGGTTTGCGGCGTGGTGTTTTCTCTCAGGCGGGCTTGTAGCTGCAAGAAGTGTTGCCAGCGGGCATTGTTGGCTTTGGCGTGCACTGCTTTCCAGCCTGCAGGCGGCAAAGGGTGCGCTGGGGGCCAGTGTGACAGGCGTCGGGGGGCTGGGCGTTTGCAAAAGATTCTGGGAAACAGCCGTCTGCGCGCAATTTCAAGCGCGCGCGGCTGCCTCCGGGTGCGGGTCTGCCTGCTCTCGCATAGCTGGTGGAAGTGCCTGTAACGGGTGGTGTGGTGGTAGTAGGGCCTCCAACATGCTGTGAGCATGAGGACGCCCAGCAGCAAAAGCGGGTGCAGAGCTCTTGGGCTGTCAGAGGTGTGCCCTTGGGGGGTGTAGGCGGTCGCCCAAGCAGCAGCGGCCATCGCTGCATCTACATGAAAGGGAGGGGGTAAGGTCTCAGGTGCACGAGCAGCGGCGGTCGAGCTTGGCCAGATTTCACGTGTGTTGGGCCCTGCCCAACCCGCTGCACCATCGCAGAGTTTGGATTGGGGTTGGCTGCATGCAGCAGTCGCGCTTTGATCTGCCCTTTGTTCCATGGTTGGGTAGAGGGGCGCTGTGTGCGCGGGCTTGTGTGCGGCTAGACATTGCGCCGCTACGGCCGTGGGCGTGGAGCAGAAAGCTAGCAGCTGCATCATCACAATCCCGGCCCGTTTGTAGCCCTGGCCTGCCCTGCAGTTGCGTGGCTTGTCAACCGCTTTGTTGAGGTCCGTCTTCCCTGTCGCCGGGGCAGTGTCGCAAAGTCGATTGTTGTTACTTGCGGCCGAGATCCCGAGCAAACAAGATGCCAGCCGGGGTGCGCTGGTGTTGCCCCCGTCGCCGCCCGATGACGTTTGTCGGCCCGATGTCGGATGCGGCCGCCGCTGCGCGTTGGTCTCGTTCTGCCTGCAGCCGCCGCTGCACCTCCTTTGCTGCAGCCTGGGCTCGCCGCAAGTGCTCGCGTGTCGCCTGCCATACACGCGGGAGAGCGGCGCCAAGCAGGCCGCCAGGGCCCAGTGCCAGCAGTGATTCGGCAGTGGTGGAGAGTGCTTGCCGCGCAGCGGCCGCGCTGCCGTGTCCGCATGAAGGGGGGCGCCCGCTCCCATAGGTTTGCTGCTGATGCTGCGGGTGCAGTTGAGGCTGCTGGTGTTGTAGCTGTGGGTGCTGCCGTGCCCGCTGTGGCAAGTGGCCGGCTGCGTCAGTGCCAGCCCCATCCAGCCATTCGCCGTCCTCCCAGCCCCACATTGCTCCCTCGGCCCAGGGCGCCGCCTCGCGCCCAGCCTCGCCCCGGCTATTGCCACCATGCGGGGCGCGGCGCAGGAGGGGCGGCTCGTCCCGTCAGGCGCCAGCCTTGCGGGGGAGGGGCAAGTTGGGTAGCAAGACAAGGGTGTCAAGTTGGGGAGCTTGTGCGTGAGTGTGAGTCCCAGTGAGAGCGTTGGTGTTGTTTGGCAGGTTGTGTCTCCCTGTAGATGTTCATTTATGTTACGTAAGCATTGGGTATAGGGTTGCACGGTGTCATTCCGCTGCCGTGGCACTGGAGGTGCGGGGCTGGCGCGCCGTTGGGGCTGGTCACACACCTGGTCCCTGCCGCTCGCAGCATCCGGCCGGTTGCGTTTTTGGCCGGGGCGCCGCTCGTCCGATTCGCGGGTCTCCTTCTGGAGGGGGTGCAGCTGCGGGAAGAAGGCCTCCAGTGCCTGCGTGTAGGTCTTGTTGTTCAAGAGGGCCTTGATCATGACTTCGCTGATGCGGGGGTCGTCCAGCCGCGGCGCCCTCTCCCCGTCAGTGAGCAGCACCGACTCGCCGAGGGCCTTGTTGCTTGCCGGGGACAGGAAGAAGGCCGGGGTGTTGCCCACCATAAGAAGCTTGGCCAGCACGCGGTCTTTCTTGGCAATCATGTTCTCGCGCGCCTGCAGCAGCTTCAGGGTGCTCTCGGCAGAGCGGATGCCAATCATGACGGCGCGCAGGCCGCGGCGCGTGAAGGCGATGCGCGGCGGGAACTCGTTGGCGGGGACAATTGCGTAGCCAGCAGCAGCCAGGCGCTCCAGCAGCGCGATGGTGTCCTCGGCCGGGGCGGGGGGTCCACACACAAGCAGCGGGTATTCGAGGTTGTTGAGGCCTGTGGGGAGGCTGTGAGAACCTGGCATCGGCGCTGGGAGAGCCAGGGCTCACTA